CCCACCACCTCTAAAGAGTAATTGAAAAACAATCATTGGGTCAAATTTGTTAGTTTCTATCATAACACAGAAGAAAGCAGCCAGAATCAAAGAGAGATCAGCCACTCAGACACATGAAAAGATGCCCACAACTCTTCTGTGTCCCTGCTGGCAAAAATAGAGTTAATAATGGATGCTGCAGCAAGAGATTGGTGCTAAGAAATAGCCTTAGAAAAAGGTAAGAAACAGCCTTCTCTGGCAAACTTCGCTAAGTAAGACTCAGCCTCCTCTGCAGGGGTCAAACTTGCTGGCAGAGAAGCTACAGGTAGATTCCAGCACCAGGAAGACAGGTCTCTGCTGAGAGAATACTGCAGAACAAAGAAGGGGCTCTTCTATACTACCCTGCTGAAAACATTGTGAATGATCTCTTGTGGTGGCAGGTGCCTCCAGAGGCTGGGAACACATCAGATAAGAAATGGCTGCTGGGCTTGAGTGTCAGGGGATAAATTCCGCTGGGCCACAGAGCAGCTGTGTGCCCTCTCTTTCCTGTTTGTGTCTCTGACTTGGCTGTAGAATGTTTCACCCTCAAATTAGGGAGACTGACTCACACTGAAAATATTGAAAACAATGTGTCCGTGGTCACTGCTATCAAAAACCTCTTATCACAAACACCTGCTTACTTTTCTTTATGTCACTAACTGCTAGATGGAAATTCTTACTTATTCATATGCTTGTCAGAGTGTTGTCTGTCTCTTCACCCTTGTGTATCAGCTTCATGACTGCAGAGCTTTTGTTCGTTGTTGCTTTTTCTGTCTGCTGGGGCCTCAGCATCTGGAACAGTGCTGGGCACATGGTACGTTCTCAATAAATACCGCAGCAAATAATCAAATCAGAAAAGAGTAACATCCTGAACCGTTCCAGGCAACCTGTGAGAGGATCTGGTTTTAAGGCAAATCACACCAAATCTGAATACTTTGCTTTCAATTCTGCATCTATATAAACAGTATTTGGCCTCATTCAGGGTAATGTTACAGCTGGCTGTAAACGTAAGAGCTGTAGTTCGGAAGACATTAGATCCCGGCTCAACTCAGCTTTTTCCTGGCTTTACAACCTGTCCTCAGAAGTCTGACCACAGCAACACTTGTAAGTAAAATCGGCCAATAAATTGGGTTTTCTTGCATGTCAGTGATTTAGTCTCCCTTGTGTACATGAGTTGCGCCATGGAATACAATGTTACTCCTTCCGTTACAAAAGCTACACTGGAAATAAGTTTTGGATTAGTGTTTAGACAAACGTTTCTTTAAGAATAGTGTGGCCGGGCGCGGTGGCTCAAGCCTGTAGTCCCAGCACTTTGGGAGGCCGAGATGGGTGGATCACGAGGTCAGGAGATCGAGACCATCCTGGCTAACACGGTGAAACCCCATCTCTACTAAAAAAAATACAAAAAAACTAGCCGGACGAGGTGGTGGGCGCCTGTAGTCCCAGCTACTCCGGAGGCTGAGGCGGGAGAATGGCGTGAACCCGAGAGGCGGAGCTTGCAGTGAGCTGAGATCTGGCCACTGCACTCCAGCCTGGGCGACAGAGCAAGACTCCGTCTCAAAAAAAAAAAAAAAAAAGAATAGTGTGACAAGGCTTTAGACGACCTGTACCAATACATACATTATTCATTATGATTTAATGGATGGGGGCAATTCCCATCCATGGGAATTTTGGGATACTCATGCGATGGCAGTTTTCCCAATTCATACCTTTGTTTTTCAAAACACAATGAGTGTATGGATTGCTTTTATTTGTCACATAATGTCAATGTCAGCTCTCTGTTGTCTTAGCTTGGTCTGCTGTAACACAACACCACAGACATTTATATCGCACAGTTCTGGAGGATGTGAGGTCCAAGAGGAAGGTGCTGACTGATTCGGTTCTGGGCAAGGGCCCTCTTTGTGGCTCAAAGATGGTCACCTTCTCGCTATTTCCTTCCATGGAGGAGTTGGAGCAAGTGCTGACTTCTTTTCCTCTTCTTCTAAGGATTCAAATCCCATTATGGGGCTCTACTCTCATGACCCCATCCAAGCCTAATCGCCTCCCAAAGGCCCCACCTGCATATATGATTACATTGGGGATTATGGCTTCAACAAAGGAATTTTTGGGGAACACAGATGTTTAGTCCCCCTAACCACTGTGAGGTATGTTCTTTATGCTGTCAAAATTACTTGTACCATTTGTTTTCTTTTTTTTTCCTTTTTTTTTTGATGGAGTCTTCCTATGTCACCCAGGTTGGAGTGCAGGAGAGCGATCACATCCAGCTAAATTTTCTTGTATTTTTACTAGAAATGAGGTTTCACCATGTTGGCCTGACTGGTCTCAAACTCTTGACCTCAGGTGATTCCCCCTGCCTCGGCTTCCCAAAACGCTGGGATTACAGGCATAAGCCATCAAGCCTGGCCACATTTTGCTTCCTTTCAATGGAACTTCAACAACAAGGTTATGCTTTTTACCCTTTGTATAGACAGTAGGCCTTCAACTATTCAGAGGATTTGGGGAATGAAGTTTCTAATCCACATCATTTAGGGTTAACTGGGGCAATGCTCTTAGGAAAGTGAAACAGCTGTAAGATGAAGTGAACTAACTTCCTCCCACTTATGAGACCAATACGAGTGCTAACTGATCAGAGTCCTCAGTTGTGGATGTTTAGACCGATAGCCCTTAACCAACCCCAAGACTTCACTCTTCTGGCCAGGCCAGCAGATCTGGAAAGAAACTCATGAAGCACTTAACCCAGGCTGTCCTGGGTGACTATTACCATGAAATGGTGATTAAAAGCTAGTTCTGTGAGGAGTTCCAAAGGCAACAGAGAACCTTTTTCTCTAGCCCTCCCTTCCCTGGAAACCAGGGTACGCAAGCTTAGGGAGGCAGGCAGGGAACCTGCCAAAAAATGGTTCCAAGGAAGCCTCCTGTAAGCCAGGGTCCATGAGAAGAGGGAGTTAGAGAACAGATGGAAGGGTACCCAATGTAGGAAAGCATATATGGCAGGATTGTGCAAAGAAGTAAATACACAGAGGTTAATGGAAGGTAGGGTTCTCCAAAGCTGAGAAGGAAACAATACACGTGGAAATGTGGAAAGAGAGGAAAACTGAATAAACTCTGTATTTCTGGGCTGTTACTGGAGGTTTACGTGCAACCTCAAGTTCACCAAAAGATGTAAGAGGTTCAATTCGAAACACCATATTCTCCAACACCAAGGGAATAGGGATCCTTGTAAATATGGCTGATTAAGTAGAATTTGAAATTTTGATAAAACAGAGAACTACATACTAAGCATAACTAAGAGGAGTTATTTACATTCACAGAGCATATCCCTTTGGCAGATGTACAGTTAAAGATTTATGCATCCCACAAGAGGAGTGAAATGATGAACCAGAACCTCTGAAAGCTACAAGTGGTTAGAGGATGAAACCACGATCATGATGAGAGACTTCAAGGTGCCTCTTTGATTAACAGTGTGCATAATCATGACAACAAGAACACCGGGTTCAATCTATTGGGCCCTGATTAAGCTCTGGGTACCTAAACAGAACTTTATGTTTTGAGAATCATTGCAGGCATCAGGCCAGAATTGGCAGAAGGGCCAGAGCTTGCCAAACCTGGCTAAAGATCATTATCTTATTTCGTTTTCTTCATTGCATGTCTCTCTAAATGAGCAGAGAAGCATCTGATATCAGCACATCTGCAACACCTTCATGGTGTGCCAGTTGGAAGCTCCGTGGCAGAACACTGGAGTCCCAGAAACTCGTGGTGACAGGTCCCTGTATTTTCAAGCCAATTCCTTCACATGTGAGAAAAGCACATTTCTGACAGAGTCCACTATTTCCTATTCCCTGGGTCCTTCTGTCCTTGTGCCATGAGGGCATACATTTAGGGACACAGATGTGATGAGGGTGAGATGATCAAACACAATTCATTCTCAGTTGTGGGAAAGAACCTTGGAGTTAATTCATCTCTGAGGGAAAATATTCAAAATGCACCGCCGCTTGGTCGGCCTTATGAAAGCAAAGCAGTTCTGGGCTTTGCTATTTGAAAGTAGAGGAAATGTATCCAATCCCCACCACCTGCCCAGCTGAACTGCTGCCTCCCAGGTGATCCTCAGTCCGGTGAGGAAGTTTGTGAAACAGCAGCTGTGACTGAATCACCAGCCGATTGGGCTTATCATAATGCATTATAACTCCCAGAGACCATTCTTCCACATCAACCAAACTGCAGAATTAAATGGGAGGTAGTGGAAGTCATGGCCCTTGCATTTCTCAAGTCTAACGTGGACTGCTCTGTAATTCCACAGGGTGTGGGGCTGCTTTTGAATGACGACATTCACAGGCACCTGGTGTTGCCACAGCTCCCGCTTGTCCCTTTCAATCATAGGAGCTACTGCTGCATGGGTCAGGAAGCCAAGGACGGTTGGGGGTGGGGGCATTGAAAGAACACAAGTTCCATTAGGGCCTGGAATTTTGTCCTTTTGGTTAAGGGTATAACTCTAGAGCCTCAACAGTGCCTGGCACACCAAAGAGAGTCAGTAGGATTTTGTAGAGTGAACCAATGAGTGAAAATGGGAACTCTACGAGGCCTTCACTGTTCCTATCAAGTGGGAAACAAATCCCTGGATGATTGGGAGGTCTCACTGGATCTGTAGTGGAAAGTTAAAACACAACTCTATTTAAGGACCGGGGGTAATGGTGGAATTATGAATCACAGGAGTCAGGGTCAGTTCACAATCACATTCAAGCTACGCCCATAGTTCTGAATACATCCCTTCCCCTAGGTCACAGTTACCCGGTTAACTGTTCTGTTAGATGAAAGCATGAAATTTCATGGGATGTATTTGTTGCATTTTAGTATAACCCTTCCCAGTGGGTAAGCAGGTTGTCCTTCCTTCAAAAGCTCTGTGTTTGTATTTTTCTTCATGACTGCACATGAGCTGCACCCCTGCAACAAAGTGGCTTACAGAGGCTCATTTGCAGCAGAGTCTGTTTTCCATGATTGTTGGTGTTGTTAAAAAGTCAAGAGAGGTCTTAATGCATTGCTCAACAATTTTATTACTAAGGAACCAGTGATGAATGAAGCACAGCTAAATATCATTGCTGGCCCAATCATTCAGTCATTGAAGTTAACAACATTTTATCTGCTCCTTGAGTCTGTGACACCTTCTTCTAAGTGTTGGTGATGCTTTAATGAAAGAAAAAAGAAAAAGAAAGAAAGAAAAAACAGACCAAAACACATCCTGCCATTGTGGAGTTCACATTCTAGCATGGGGAAGAAGGAACACAAGGAAACAATAAACATTGCAAATTATGTGAATGACAGAAGATGAAAGAGACTACGAAACAATACAGATTGTACAGACAGCATAAGGGGGACTCAAAACTGAAGTTAAATTGTAACTTTAAATCATGCCTTTAACATGCTGTCCCTGCTGCCTTTTCAGTTAAATGCTTTGGCTCCGAGGTTCCCTTTAGGGCCGCCCCAGGCCTCCGCCATCCTGAATCTGCTGCTGCTAATGGGAAACATGGAATTCAAATTTAATGGCAGTGTTCATTTTAATTAAGAACTCCTTTCCTCCAGTGCCTAGCAAGCTAATTTAGCATGCTTTTTAATTGATAAGTTATTTCCCTAAGCTGGGTTCATGGTCCAATTGAACTAGCCAGTATCTCAATTAGATTTGCCGGAAAAGCCATATGTAAAATACTATTTAGGCTTACTAAGCTAACCTTTTCAGTTAAACCAGCCCCTTTACTGCTCATAGAAGGAAAGATAAACAGAATAAAAAAAGCTTTGTCATTACAATTTTTGTGCTGGGATGATCGAAACCGCTCTCCACTTAAAGCAGAACTGAGTGCTTTCCACCATAATCACATTGACGATATCATCTACTTTAGGTACATATCCATCAGGAAGTTTCACAGAATCCAAGGTGAAAAAGATATTATTACTTATCACCCCATTTCTTCCACGTATGTGAGTAACGCGGACCTGTAAGTATAAATAATGGAAATGATTAGGAGAAAGCCCAATAATCACTGTAAACAGCTGTTCACCTCCTCACCCTGGGTCCTGCAGGTCACTTCGATGCGAATCAATAATTCCCAACCTGGTTGACCCGTTGCTAACACCAGGGGTGCTTTGTAAGGATCCCCATGTCCATGCTCCACCACAGACCAATTAAATCAGGCTCTCCAGGGATGAGGCCTGGGTCTCTGATGAGAAATCCTGCTCTAAATATTACCAAAATATGTCCATTACCCTCTATTGCCCTGAATTTCCTGGTCATATTCAGGCTCCAACACCCAAATCATTCTCAGCATTTACTGTTAAGCTCAAGTCCCACAACACACTTCGTTCATTCTTTCCCTACAATTTTCTGGCACAAAGATTGTTTTTCTTCCTCCTGTTGTTGGAAGATTCTAATAACATTTGGGTATCGAGTAAAATGCACAATTTAGAACTTAATCAATTAATGTGCTTGTTCTACATAATTTTCAAATTATTTCCTTTGGGAAGTCCTGCCTTTTCAATAAGGAAAGTGGCTCCTTTGTTGGCAAAGAATGTATTTCTTCATATTTTCTGGAATTCCCATTACACCAAACAGAATCTTGGGCATGAAATTTATCATGAAAGGAAGGGTTTGCAGAAACCGATGATGGGAGCAACAGGAAAGAAATTACCTCTTCCGCATGAATACAACGGGTGGGCTTCACAGAGCTTGCCTTGAAGTTTGAGAAGCCTGGTTCAGTGGAATATTCAACTTTTAACCAGTCACCCTTATAAGGCACAAAATCTAAAACAGCCATGGAGAAATGTGAGTGTCATGATCTCTTAACTAGGTCATTTGGATTTCACACGTTATTTGATAGTGTACTACTTTAAAGTCAGTTCTGCAACATCTAAAGTCATTTTTGCACACATTTAAACAGACACACTGTAAATCTCTAAGTCCGAAAAGAAGTTTATAATCCTTAGGCACTGATTCTCCTCTGCTGATTTAACAAAGTCAAATGGAGGAAAGTGTGAACTGTACATCACAGCCAATCTAAGGGAGCAGCACAAGATTTACTAAACAACTGTTCGTGTTCACAATTGCTTAGTGAGAGGCAGTCAAACATGTAGATAAGAGCACAAGTTTAAACCTGCTTACATGGCTTCGAATCTTGACACTGCCACTCACTCAGTTTGCAACCTTAGCCAAGATGTTTAATCTCTCTGTGCCTCATTTTCTTCATCTATAAAATGAGAAGCACGATAAATAGCCTTCAAGATACTGAGCTGCTGTGACACTTAATAGATATTGTTGATACGCACAGAATCATCACTGGTGCATAGTAACCACCAAATAACTGTTGATTGGTAGTAGTGGTAGCAGTACCACTAGGAAATGTTGTTACTTTCAGAATGAATCCATTCCCCCTAGTGTTGTGTTCCACTGATGAACTCTTAAGTCTGTGCCTTCAGGGTTACCGTTAAGACCATCGAGGTTGAAACACAAGTTTACGATAAGTTAAAACTGACTCAAGGATAACAAAGGTACGTGAAAGAATCTGGAGCAAATGGAAATCCCAACTGCAACTGAGACAGTAAATTGCCACAATGACTCCAGAAAACTAGCAATATCAACAAAGTGAAACATTTCTTCACCTTAGGATCCAGCATTGTAGTATGACACAAGACACCACGTTAGACCTCTCTCTCTCTCTGTATCTGTTAATTTACATACATTTCTTTTGTGTGGGTGTACCATATATCTATGGGCCAATAACTCCAAAATGTGTATGCCTCCAGCTCTAACCAACCTCAGGATCAATTATCCTTATGCTTACGCCAATCTAACGTGTAAAGCTGAGTTGTTGGTATTCTCCGTATTCACCAACTTTTGTCTGCCTCAGACGTCTACATTGCAAACTGGCAACTCCACCCTCACCACCGCTCAAACAAGAAACTTTGGAGGTACCTTGGACTCATCTTTCCTCCACATCAAAGATCTAATCCATTACCTCCTGGGTTCTTCTCTAACTTCAAAATATATCCAGAGTCAACTCAATCCTCAGGTCCTCCACTTGTCCACTTTCATTCACATCTCCATTATTTCTCACCAGGAATATAACAACGGTTTCCTGACTGATTTCGTGACTCCACCCTCTCCCTCATAGTCTCTTCTCGACAAAGCAGACAGAGTCAACATCTTAAAACAAAATTCAGGTCAGAGTCCTGCTTTTGCCCCCAAGAAAACAAACGAGCCAGCTGCCTGTGGAAACGGAGCTAATTTACCCTTTTACACCCAAGCTATACAACTGTTGCAATGGACAAAAATAGCAAAAAAAAAAAAAGTGTATCTTTGGTTATAAGCAAAATATTAGAACATATCTGCTGATTACAAAGAGAATTCAACACACACACACGCACACACACACAGCCACAAAGCACTATCTCCAATCCTAAATTTGAAGCATTTGAAGTGTATTCTTTTAAAATTTGGTACTCCACCCTGTCACAGAAACTTCTCAAGTAACAGAAATGATCCCTGCAAGCATAGTCTCTGAAGGGTATTAAAAATAGCGTCTCTGGGTACTTGTAGGATTGTTTCCATGATTAGAAATTAAATTATCATGTGAATGAAAAATATATCCAGGCATTACTGAGGGTATTGAACAAATGAACACACAATAGATGACAGCAGACATTTTAAAATACTGCCTATTTGCCCCTATATTGTACATAATTTTAATTGGAAAGGTCTACCTCAAATATTGAAGAGCCATTGACTGAAGCCAAGTACACTGTTAAATTTGTTCTAGGACTAAAATCCTCTCAAAAAATTAAGAATTACATCATATATCACAAAACGCAAATCATACCTTCAGAAAAAATGTCCATAGGGAAATAAATGATGTTACTAATATAAATAGTATCTTCACTTATAGAAGCAACACATCCATTTAAAACTCTGAGTTTTGAGTCTGAGGGTCCATTACCGTTAAGAGGGTGAGGCACAACATCCACCTGTAAGATTTAGGAAAGAGTTACTTCGAAAATAATACAAATTTAAACACAGGAACTTACATGGTTAAAACACTGGTATTCCAAAATGTTTTCAAAAACCATCCTAAGCATTGGTGAATATAGTTCATGTGCTAAATGGCCATAGACTGGAGAAAATGGTAAAAATCATGTGTGTGCCTTATGAATTGTGAAATGTATCCCAAAACATTAATTGCATAACCAAGTTTAACGCCCTTGTACCATTAGATTCCCAGATTTAAAAACTACTGTCGTTCGCCTACAGGAATTCACAGTGAAATGACGGTAAAGTGGAAAGATATGTAGTCATAAGCAGGTTGCGATGAAGGATATAAAACTTGTTCAAAGATAGTTTCTGTGACTTATCTAAAGGGAGAGCATTTCAGACAGGGAGAAAATAGCGGCATTGCTTGGGGGAAGTCAGATTTGTGTTGGGTTGTGAAAGAAGACAGAGGTGTAACCTTGTAAACAGGGGTAGAGGAGCAGGGAGGCAGAGAGGAGATACAACACAATTAAGGAGCCTAGGGAGCAAAACCCTAACATTGGAGATCCAGGTCTAGGGGACAGTAGCACGAGATAAAGTTGGAACAATAACCTCAACTGGGGGAGGTTGAATAAACCAAGCCAAATTAGGGCTTTACTTTATCTACAATAGAGAGGCATACAAACCTTTTTCCTTATTGGAAGTGTAATAGTCCTTATTTTATAATTTTTAAAACTTACAGAAATAATGCAAGTTCATTGTACTAAAAATAGGAAAAACAAAAACCAGATATGCAGACAGCAAAAGGCGGTTACCCCATAATCCATATTCCATTACCAAGAGACCACCAGGGACTACATTTTGGCAGTAACACTCATCCTGATGTTTTTGTCTGTGCACAAATATATATACATATGTAAATGCCTGTTTTAAAAGCAAATTAGCATGGTATTCAGTATTAAAGTATCACATTAAATCAACACAAAGGTTTTTAAATAACAAGAAAGGACAGAAAGAGTCATAGGGAATCCCAATTAATGGATGTGCCATAATTTACTAACCCAATTCCACGTAATTAGACATTTCACTTGTGTCCTAGCATTTGGACTACTTGCCTGACTGAACTGTAGGATAAACTCCTGGGGTTGGAATTTGCTGATCAAAGACTTCTGATGGAAACTTGAGCCACCGAGTTGTAAATAATTTTCCATGGTTTTAAAGATAGCTTAGTTTGCTGCTATTCCCATTTCTTAACTGGTGTCCTTCCAGCTGTCAGTACCAATCTGATGTTTATTTTCCCCTCACTTCCTGTCATGAGGGAATGAGGCATTAGCCTCCCGTCCACGCATCTACCACCACTTCCGTCAGTATCCAGTGGATGATCCACGCACCCTCGGACCTCTTTGTTCCTTGACTCCACACCAACTCACAGACATACTGCAGACTAAAGCTTTGCCCATGTTTCGTGGCTCCCAACACTATTTCTTATGCCTTGGAAATACCACCAACACAACAGCAGGTACAAACAGATGGAAATGTTTGCAATAATGCATTGCATGTCATAAGTGGCATTTCAATAAAATAGGGTCAAAGTGGATTATCCTATTAATGTTGAGGGACAATTGAGTAGCCAGTAGGGAAACAAGACACGGATCCTTCTCTCAGTCCTGAACACGGAAAGCAAACCCAGGCTGACTGTATGTTTAGATATCAATAAATTAATGACTTTTAGAAGAAAAGTTAAGTGAATACTTGTGTAAATTATGTGTTAGAATTAGCCTAAGGAAACTTCCTGAACACAGAAGTCACATGGACAAGATGGACATATTTATAGTATGTAAAAATCAAACAGATGGAGGAGGAAGGGAGCAAGATGGAGAAATGGAACTGTCCAGTGATCATCCTCCTGCAGAAAATCAATGTGAAAAACTATCCTTGTATGAAAATACCGTCACTTGAGAGAAGGAAACCAGGTGAGAGGCCATGGTACCTGGTTATAGCATGAAAATAAAAAAAGATGCATTGAAGACGGTAGTAAAGACAGTTTTACATTGCCCATGTCACCCCCTCCCCAACCTTCAACAGCACAGCATGGAGACAGATACCATCCACCTGGAGGACAGAGAGAGTGGCAAGCATAGGACATTGCCTGAGAACCCAGTATCAGGCCTTCCACACTATACGCCACCACTTGACAAATGCCCATGGCACGTAGCCCCAGATGCTGAGATGGTACTTGTGGAACCAAGTCTCTAGACCCACCCTGGCACCAGACAGGAAGCCGCAGCCACATCAAAACAAACTCAATACCTGGCCCACATCTCTGCCAGTGATTCTACTGGCCTTATGCTCAGAATATTCTACAGCAACAGGGAGTCCTCTGAATGGAGCCTTGGATTCCAGACTCTCAAGGCACCAGCCTCAATAGCTAAGGGAGTGCATGCCATTGTAGCATCTGTCGCTGTGTCCCGGGGATTGGGAAGCCCCCAAGTGCTTCAATAGCTGCAGTGTTCACAAACATAAGGACCAAAAGAGACCTATATAGAGTTTCCGGACAGGCTTACTGCTAAAGGATGTCCCCTAAAAGCTAGACTGCAAAGACTGAAATGAATACCTACTTCTTCAACACACAGATATAAACACATGACCACAAAGATTAAGAACAATAAGGAAAACATGACATCACCAAACTGACAAAACAAGGTGCCAGTGATTGACCCTAGAGAGATAGGAATGCATGAGCTGTTTAACAAATAATTCAAAATATCTATTTTCCACATGCTATGTGAACCTTGAAAATAATTACAGAGAAATGATTCAGAATTTATCAGAGTAATTTGAAAGAAAGATTGAAAGAATTTTAAAAAAATAAACAAATCAAAAAGTCGAAAAATACAATGAAAGAAGTACACAATAGAGAGCATCCACAGGAAAATTGATCGAGCAGAATAAAGAATCTGTAAACTTGGAGACAGCTTCATTAAAAATATACAGTCACAGGAGACAAAATTAAAAGGAAGGACACGGAATGAAAAAAAACTTACTGAATTTCTGGGACAATTATCAGCAGAGCAATAGTATGAGTCATTCATATTCTAGAGGGAGGAACGAAAAAGAGGTAGAAAGGTTATTTAAAAAATAATAATGGGGAGCCATCCAAACCCAGAGAAAGTTACAAACATCTAGGTACTGGATGACCAAAGTTCTGCATTCAGATACAATCCAAATAAGATTACCTCATGACATATTAAAATCAAACTCTCAAAGATGAAAAATAAAGAAAAAATCCTGAGAGCAGCAAGAGGAAAGAAGCCAATCACATATTCCAATATGCCTACCAGAAGACTTCTCAGCAGAAGCATAACAGGCTAGGAGAGAGTGTGATGATATATTCAAGGAGATCAAGGAAAAAATGTCTAACCAAGAATAATGTACCAAGGAGTAAAGCGGAGATAAAGACTTTTACAGAGAAATCATAGCTGAGGAACTTCCTCACCACCACAACTGTCTTACAAGAAATCCTATGGAGAGTTCTTCCAACTGACGTAAGGGATGCTAATGAGTAATGCAAAAATATCTGAAGGTATAAAACTCACTATTAAAAGTAACCACACACATTCACAATATTCTATTAAGGTAACGGTGGTGTCCAGATCACGTATATCTTCCATGTAATGGTTAAAAATGGAACTAGTAAAAATAAAATACGTACAATAATCCATTAAGGGATATAAAATATAAAAAGTTGTAAAGTGTAAAATAGAGAACTCAAAATCTGGGCATGGAGTTAAATGGTAGAGTGTTGGTATTTTGTGATCAAAGTTATATTATCAATAAATAAACTGTTGTGATTATGTTTTTGTATGCCCCATGCTAACCACAAAGAAAAAATCAAGTAATAGACACATTTTAAAATATCTAGGAAACAAAACATACTAATGGAGAAAAATCTCTTATCCATCAAGAAAGACAGTAAAAGAGAAAGAAAGGAAGAAATTACCAACAAAATAAGTAGAAAAAAATCTAAATGACAACAGTAAATCTTTACCTATCAATAATTAACTTGATAGAAATGGATGACATTCTTCAACTAAAATACACAGAGTAGCTGAATGGATTTAAACAACAACAACAACCAACCTAGGAGAGATCCACTTCTCCTTAAAGGACATTCGTAAACTGCAAGTGAAGACATGAAAAAAGACATTCTTCCATGTAAAGGGAAACCAAAATAGAGCAGGAGCAGCTAACCTAATTTCAAATAAAATAGGCTTTAAATCACAAACTGTAAAAAGAGACCAAGAAGATCATTATATAATGGTGAAGGGGTCAATTCATCAAGAGGATATAATGATTTCCAAAAATATGCATCCAACATAGCAGCACCTAAATATATGAAGCAAATATTAAGGTCCAAATGCTGAGAGAGAGTACAATGCAATAATAGTAGGGGACTTCAACACCCAGCTTGCAGCAATGAACAGATTGTACCGATAGAACATTGACCCCCAAAAAGTCGGATTTATCTGCACTCCAGACCAAATGGACCTAACAGTCATTTACAGAACATTCCATCCAAATGCTCCAAAACACATATTCTTCCAACTGCATGTGGAACATTCTGGAGGACAGATTATGAGTCAGGCCATAAAACAGGTCTTAGCAAATTAAAGGAGTTTGAAACAATATCAAATCACTTCTCTAACCGCAATAGTAAAATACTAGAAATGAATAAAAGTAGGAACTTTGGAAACTTTAGAAGTGGATGGAAATTAAATAACATGTCCTAAATAACGAATGGGTCAATGAAGAAATTAAAAGCAAAGTGTAAACGTTTCTTGGGATAAAGCAAAATGAAGGCACAACATATGAAAACCCATGAAATACAGCAAAAGCAAATCTAAAAGTGAAGTTTACATCAATAACGCCTACCTCAAAAGAAAAGATATATCTTCAATAAACAACCTCACACTGCACCTTGAGGAACTAGAAAAAAAAT